AGGCTGACATTGGAACGCTGCCTCAGGTCCCCACCCAGTACGTGCAGCCAGCCCGGAGGGGCGTCTTGCCAGGACAGGCCGACCGAGGTCTGAGTCAGGGCCGAAGATGGGCGCTTGCCTGGACTGGAGACCCTGGTTGCGCCCTTGTGTTTCTGTCACTGATCTTTGTGGCTTGGTGACCGTGGAGCATTGGGAAGCCGTCCCGGGCACACAGGTGCTGGCAGGCCTGGGGAGCCGGAGCCACTCCCGGGCCCTTCCAGCAGCCTGGGCTCTGCAGTGAGGCAGTCTGGGATGCAGGCTCCTCCTCCACTCCTTCCTGCGCCACACACCGAGCGTGGATTAGCGTTGACGGGCAGCAGGTGCTACCCGGGGACTTCCCCAGCAGCGCCCCGATTTTGGCTGGCTGCGCATCTCGGGGGCTCCGCTCAGGCCTGAGTCCCCTGACACCTCAGCTGAGCTGGGCTGACGAGGTCGTGGTGGAGCCGGCCTTTCTCGGCAGCCGGAGCGAAGCTGCGACGTGCTCCGTGTGGGCAGACTTCTCCGCCGAGGCTCCTAGTTCTCCTCAAGTGGGGTGCGTCTGCTGCTGGAGCCCGAAGCTGGGCTTTCGCTATCGCCGGCCTTTATTCAGAGGCACATGGGGTGGGGGGCTCATCATTGGCAGGGAGCCCCAGAGCCATAAAAACCCTACCAGGTGCAGAGGTTCTGGACAGGGGCCTGGAGCCTAGGAGAGGGATGACCTGGATTGAGGAGAGGAGCTCACCCAGGTTTCGGGGTGTTCAGGGGTCGGAAAGTGGCCGGTGGGTCTGCAGCCACAGCACAGACCTCACAGAATTGGGCGTAGTGGTGGGACGCACAGCCCTGAGGCCTGGCCTCCTGCCACAGGCAGCGGCAAGCCCTCGGAGGTCAGGGTTTAGGGGGTACACTTGGGGTCAGGAGGGGATGAGAATGGCGACGGTGGCGACTCACAGGGATAGGAGGGAGGCACCACTGAACAGGCCTGCACCGGGCCGTCGCAGCATGGAGTGGACGCCGGCTGGGGTGGAGTTCCAGGCGCACCCCGCCCCCACCTGGTTGCACAGGGAAGGAGGGTGGTGCTGGGGTTCCCGCTGCGGCGGGGTTGGCGGAGACGGGGCTTTCCCTCCTCCTGAAAGGCCTGCCTTCCCCTGCCCGCTGTCCTGGCCAAACTAGGCAGTTCTTCCTCTTTTTCCTTAGGATGACGGTTTATGTTTTTAATAGCAGGTGTGTAGAACACGGGCGTGCACAGATGGGTGGCTCATTGTAGGGCCTCCGCCTTCAAAGCCGGGGGACACGCGTTGGGTCCTCCCATCCAGATGCTCTTGCCCGTCGGCCGCGTGTGATTAGACCGGGCTCACGGGATACTCCGCCTCTTGCCACAGCACACAACGCCCTTCACGGGTCCCACCCGAGTTCGGGTCACGCACCGTGAGCCCTCACAGAGCTGCCTCCCCCAGGAGCCGCGTGGCTGTTCTCACCCACGAGAACACAGGGACCAGCCATCTGTCCTGTCCACCGGTCTAATACGGGGCAGTCTGGTCAGTCAGTAGGATCCACGCGACATCCGGGTCTGCTCCCCATGCCCTGTAATTTCTGCGCAGGCCGTCGAGGGGCGGGAGCTCCCGTCCACCCCACACGCTGAAGCTGGGTGCCAGGGAGGGGCCAGCTGCTCCCTGTGTGTCATGTATGTCTGTCTGTCTGTCTGCACTGACCCCTGGGCCAGGGGCCAGCTGTCTCTGGCTCACCTGGGGCTGGGGGAAGACGAGGTGCAGCAGGCTGGGGCCAGGCCACAAACATAACTCTGCAGTCATTCACACAGAGGATTCGCAGTAACAGAGACCATTGTTGCTGGGGGAACGGAAAAGGGGGACCCAGAGTGGGTTCAGGGGGCCCTGCCTACAGCCCAGTGTTGCCTGAAGCAGCCGACACAGGACAGAAGAGAAGAGGCTGGCAGTGAAAGCCGGGAGAAGGGCCGTGGTGGGGGTGGGTGACAGGTGCACTGAGAGTGATGGAGAATCCACAGTGCGGATGTCACTGCCAGGGGACGGGGGATGGAGGGCTGCTGGGGGACAGCCCTTCCCTTCTGCCGATCTCTCTCCCCCAGTGGGCAATGCCCGGTCGGAGCCACTGGCGGAGCAGGGAGTGAGTTCCAGAGTCGCAGCCCCAGCGCGCAGGGCCCAGCACAGAGGGCGCGTCAGAGCCGAAGCCTGGATGCGAACCGCAGGAGGCCCTTTCTCTGGGGCCCCAGGGCCTCATCTTGCAGGCCAGCCTCCTGCTCTGACTTTCTCCTGGGGTTGCTCAGCCCTGCGCATGTGCTTTTTTTTTTTTAAAGGTATTTATTTATTTTTAGAGAGAGAGGAGGGAAGGAGAAAGAGAGGGAGAGAAGCATCTATCGATTGCCTCTTGCAGTCCCCCAACTGGGACCTGTCCCACAACCCAGGCATGCGCCTTGACTGGGAATTGAACCGGTGACCTTTCGGTTGGTAGGCCGAGACTCAATCCCCAGAGCCACAATAGCCTCGTGCTTTGGTGGGTGCCCTCAGAGAGCATGTGGTCCTGATTAACGCGCCCGTGTCACTGGTGGCATTTGAAATGGAGATGGCAGCGGGGTGGGGGGGGGGCCTAGCGCTCACTGTCATTTCGAAGCAAAAAATAGTGACTCGAAGGTTGCCAGCTCCGAAGGATTAATTATCCGCATCCAGAAGCGAGGGAGAGGATATTTTTGGTAAGGTGTTCAGGACTGGTGTCGTCGTCGCTTCAAACCCGTGCCTTTAGAGTGGAATGGAGTTTTGGAGGGTTTGCAACGCTGCAAATTGTGTCCAGGAGGCCGTGAGATCAGGCGCGGACATTTGCAAAGGGCCAATTTTAACGTTAACGACTCCCGATTTTTTATTGCTTTAAGTTCTGATAATGCCGGCTTAAAACGTTTAAAAGAGCGAATTCTAAGTGTGTAGCTTGATGATTCATGGAGGGAACGCACCTGTATAATCACCGCCCCCAAGGGGAAATGGACAGTGACCAGCCTGCTCCCTGCCCCTGCTGCCCCTGCCGCCCCTGCAGCCGCCTTCCCCTGCCTTCCCCTGCCTTCCCCTGCCTTCCCCAAGGCAGCCGCCCTCCTGCTGGCGACCCCAGCGCTCGTTCTGTCCGTTGTGAACGTGGAGAGGAGACACGGAGATTGGTTGGGGGGTGGTGTGCAGGCGAGGAGGGAGAAGAGGGTGTGGAAGTGGTTGGCGCGCAGGAGGCAAGGTGGCCGGGCCCCCAGAGCCAGCCACAGCCCTGCCTTTCTGACCTCTTTCGCTGTCTGTCTTCCACACCCACTCTGTCCTTCTGCCCCTTGCTGTCCCTCTGTCCCTCACTGTCCGTCTCTCTGTCTCTATCTCCTACACAGTCTCTGTCTCCCTCACTCTCTCTCACCCTGTCTCTCCGGGAGGGTTTGCAGGGGCTGGGCCCGCTTCGTACAGCGCCCCCTGGAGGCGCCCCTTGGAGGTATTTTAATTCGTGGCACGTGGAGTGTCTGTGACAGCGACTCCACAGTTGGTTGAACTGTTGAACTCCCTCGTCTGCTGCCTGCCCTCTGCTCCCTTTCTTTGTCTGGTGGCTGGTGCTAGAAAAGATAAAAGCGTCCTTTGACCTCCTGTGGGGCACTTGCGGGAGGGAGAGGTGTAAAGGTCAGTGGGCCAGACCAACCAGAAGTCCTGGAGTTGACTCCAAGGTCCCTGCTGCCCCTTGGCCTCCCCACCCTGACGCACGGCCCTGGTCAGTCACGTCTCCCGCGTCAGAGCTGAGCTCACAGGCGTGGCCCCCGGCTCCTCGCCCTGCACAGGATCCCTGTTCTCTCCGTTCCCTGGGTGGCTTCTGGCTTCCCACTGCCTGCATGTGGCTCAGCGGGATGGGCCTTGGGTGGTGGGCCTCCGCTGTGAACGTCCTGGTGGGCCCCCCTGGGGCAGGCTGGGGGCCAGGCCTGGGGTCTAGAGCAGGGCTTGAGGGAGCCGGGCGCGAGGAAGTGCACGTGGTGTGTGCGTCAGATCAGCACACCCTCTCCCAGCCCTGCGCTGCTGCCTGCAGCTTTGCAGGAGGAGAGGTGGACTCCAGGGCTCCCCGTGTCACCAGCGAGCAAGCTGTCGGCGTCGGCTTGTGTGGACTCCGGGGCCCCTTAGACATAACTTTCTCTCCCCTTTCGTTGAAAAAGGGCTGCCACCTTTTGTGAACTTAGCTTTGAACGTGATGATGAACGCGGTGATAGCTTAACTTTTCCGCAGTCACCTGCTTTGTGTGCTATAAATAAACTAACTTGCAAAAGTTGTATTGCGGTTCCCATGGCAACAGAGCCCCTTCTCCTTCTCCTTCTCCCTTCCCCTTCAGAAACCGCTCCTCTGGGCCCCTGAGGCAGCCCAGCCAAGGGGGCCAGGGGACCCAATGCCAGGGCCGGGGTCAGGGCCCATGTCGGGTCCCTCTGTTGTCAGTGAACGGGTGTGTGGCTGGGACTGTTCGCAGGGGACCCTCGGCCCAGCCCGGAGCCGTCTTCCTCCCCAGCTGGCACGGGCTGATGCACGGCTGCACCCCAGGCTCCGGGGAGGGAGTGGGGGCTTCGGCCTTGCCTCTGGGGCCTTAGCCTCTCGTGCAGGGGGCTCAGACAGACCGGCGCCTGACGCCTCCGGGTTCCTTTGCGAGCTCCGTCAGGTGGGGTTTCCGGAAGCAGTCTAGAGGCATTGAGTTCCCCTGGTGGCGAGTGGACCCCACGTCTCAGCCCCTCAGACTGGCTGCTTCCCAACACGTTTCCTGCACAGAGGGGTGAACGGGGCGTCACCAACACAGACACCACCCAAAGTGAGGGCACACGGAGCCTGACTTGGGAAGAGCCTCCCGGGACCTGGCACATGCTGGCCCTCCTCCTCCAGGCTGGCCTCAGGCCGAGGTCCGACACCTGCCGTGGGTCACTGCCAGCGCGGCGGCTCTCTCACAGCTGGTCCTTCTCTGTCTTGCAGGTGCTGGGGTTTGAGATCGATGCTGTGAACTCCGTCCAGTTTTCAAACCACACAGGTAAGGAAGGCACAGCCTCCGTGGAGTGTGGGTGTGAGACACGGCGCTTTAGAAGTCTGGGGCCTTGCCCCCCCATCTGACGGACAGGGACACAGCCCAGGGGGTCACCCCCTGCAGAGGGTGCCGGGTGTGAGGGTGGAGGGTCGGAGTCTCCTGTCCGCAGGTGTGGCCTGCCCCTCCGAGTCTCAGCTTGGCGGCCTTGGGCTGGCTCGCCTGTGCAGGCGAGTGTAGCCGGGAGGAGTTTACTCCCCTGCAAAACGAGGACGGTATCCTGGCACCTACTTCAAAGCTGGTGCTCTCCCGCCCTCCACCCCCCTGTGATGCCACGGCCATGGGGATGGTTCCCCGTGCTGTAGGCAGACTTGTGGATGGGCCTTGGTTTTCTCTATGGGAAACGGGCTCCTGGGGGGGTGCGGTGCATGGGGCCTCGAGGGTTTCTGGACACAGAGATCTGGAGGCAGAATGGCCGGCTGAAGGGCAGGGAGGGTTGGTGCCCTTAGAACTAGGCTCTGCCGTCAGGGTGAGCCCCTGGCTCCCGAGCTCCCCGAACCCGCTGACCCCATGCTCCCCGTGGCCGCAGAGGCAGGAGGACAAAGCCTCCTTGGTTCTCAGAAATGTCCCCGCGTTGCCTCTTGGAGATTACTCTGAACCCGGGCATGGAATGTCCCGGGAGCGCCTGGCAGGATGCCTTTGCCTCGGCCCTCAGGACAATTCTCCGTAATTCTCTGGGTGCAGTTCTTCTCGGAAGGGAAGGCGGCTGCGGTAAATTTTGAACAGGGAGGGAAGAATTCCACGCGGGTTTGGAGGAAGAGGCTGCAGTTCTCACCCAAAGTTCTCTTCTGCCTTCTCTTTGCTGTGTGTGCCAGGCGCTGTGAAATTTGCAAAAATCCCAAAAAGTCTGAGTCAGTTCAGCAAACTTCCCTGAATCCCGCATGTTTTTACTGTCAGTTTTAACTCCCCTCCCTTATTTATTTTAGTGGTTTGGACACTCAATGACGGGATTAAACTTGCTGGTGAATATTACAGTGTGACGTAGTGACATTAGCTCAACCTAAGCAAAGACCCAGCTTAGAAACTCCTGCCGTCCTTCCTTCCAGATTCCCGGATGAGGGGAGGGGGCTTCCGGGGGCTTCTGTGCTGATTGGCAGCTTCTGGGCTCCTGTGGACTTTCTCAGGTGACGGTGGGCTGGCCATCCCCAAGGGTCTGAGGCAGAGGGAGCCTCTGCCTGCCCCGGGCGGGATGGAGGAAGAACAGACCACCGTGTGTCTGGGAGCCCCCTCCCCTGGCCCCGGGGTTCCTGGGAGGGCCTCCCCACCCATAGAGCAGAGCCCCCTGCCCCCACACCAGCCTTCTCAGGCAGCTCCCACTGTGGGTGACTTGGGGCGCCCCGCACTCGGGCCCACAGGGACGGCTGTCTGCGCAGCCTCATCAGGGGGCCTGCAGGGTGCGGCCTCCCCAGGGCCACCTCTGTGGCTCAGGTGCCAACCCCGTGAGCTGGAGGAGCCAGGTGAGGCCTCACTGTGCCCCTGAGCCCGTGCACCCCTTTTCACCCGTTCCACCCCCCTCACCCCTGCCCACAGCCTGCTGCTCAGGAGAGAGGCTGGCCGGTTTCTCAGACCCACTCCCCGTGGCAGGCAGTGTGGCCCCTGGCACCTGCGGAGCCACTCGGTGTCCTGCTCCCTCCCCGGGAGCAGGGTCACGTTGCCCGCTGTGAGTGTAGCACACCTACGCCACCTGTCGGTTCTATCCTGGACTTGGGACATGGACATTCCTGGTATTTTCACCCTTTTCTTTTAAGAACTGGAGGCGCTTTATTGATTTATTTTCACCACATTCCGCTGCAGCAAGCGTCTCTCGAGGAATGACTTGCCGTAGGGCTGTGTGGCCTCGGCCGGCTCGCCCCCTCTGTGCGTGTCCTTGTCCAGCACGGGGCTTCGCAGGCTATCGGGCAACAGCCTTGCTGGTTTGTTGTTTCCACCACGTGGTCCTACTGTGCGCTGAGCATGCAGCTCACACCCGCCTCGGGAGTTTGACCACACAAACCTTGTATCTATACCTTGCTCAACAAGCGGCCCCACGGACCCCGAGCTGGGAGGCCTGAGCAGCGTCCGCTACCGCCCCCTGCAGTTCTGCCAGCTGCGATCTGCCGGCTCCTCTGGGTCGGAAATCCCTTCCTCTGTTTTTACTTTTAAAACACATCTTTATTAAGACATCCTCACACCATAACATTAATTTAGTCATTTACATGTACAATTCGATGTTTTTTAGTATAGCCACAGTTACGCAACTCTTACCACTGTGTTTGCATGCCGCAGTGGAGGTGACTACCTGGTAGCCGTCCCCCCACCCCCCCCCCCCCCCCCCCCCCGCTCTCCCCAACCACGAGTCTGCTGTCTGTGCATGGACCTGCCCGTCAGGCTTGAATGTAAATGGAACCGGGCGATGGGGGCCTTCAGGGACTGGCCTCTTGCACTGAGCCTGATGTTTCAGAGTCCACCCATGTCGTAGCACACATCACAGCCACATTCCTTGTACGGCTGAGGAACATTGCACCCTGCATGTCCTCCACGTTGTGCTGTCCATCCACCCCCGGTGGACATTTGGGTGTATGAGTCAGGTTGCTATGCGTATCTTCTGTCTCCACGGGCTTTTGTGGGGGCGTTTTCTGTGTCCTCCGCTGTGTGCCTAGGAGGAGAGCGGCTGGGACGCATGGGGACTCTGTGCCCCACAGTTTCGAGACTGTTTTCCAGGCCGACAGCATCATTTTGCGTCCCCACCAGTGGTGTGTGAGGGCCCCGGTTTCTCCGCATCCTCGTCAGCAACACCTGTTATCCTGTGTCTCTCTTGTTCTCGCCGTCCTAGTGGGCGTGACTTGGGAGCTCCCTGTGACTTGAGTCCAAAACCACTCTTAAGGTTGAGAATAGAAAGCCTGACTCTGCAGGTGAGGGGTGTTCTAGGGCCGGGCTGGCTCCTTCCCTTATCAGTGGCCAGGTGGCAATCATGGAGGCTTGGCAACTTCTGTGCCGTTGACGCATGGAGCGCACCCAGAGACAGTATGGATGTTCCGGTGCATCTTAAACTTGACTTACAGAAACTGAACAGCTCTGGCTGCTGTGGCTTAGTTGGTAGGAGCAATGTCCCAAAAACCACAGGTCTCAGGTTTGATTCCTGGGCAGGGCACATGCCTGGACTGCAGCTTCTGTCCCAGGCAGGGCGAGTGGGAGAAGTGACCAGTTGACGTTTCTCTCCCTCTTTCTCCCTCCCTTCCCGTCTCTCTGAGATCACTAAACATGTTCTCAGGCGAGAATTTAAAGAGAAAAGAACATAAACCGAACATGGAATTTCATGTAATTTTTACAAGTCACTAAGTCTTTTTTCTGCAACCATTTAAAAATGTGAACTCTGTCCTTGGCTGGTGTGGCTCAGTGGATTGAGCACCGGCCTGCAAACCGAAGGGTCACCAGTTCAATCCCCAGTCAGGGCACATGCCTGGGTTGCAGGCCAGGTCCCCAGTAGGGGGCGCATGAGAGGCAGCCACGCATTGATGTTTCTCTCCCTCTCTTTCTCCCTCCCTTCCCTTCTCTCTAGAAATAAATAAATAAAATCTTTAGCCCTGGCTGGCGTAGCTCAGTGGATTGAGCTCGGGCTGTGAACTAGGCATTGCAGGTTTGATTCCCAGTCAGGGCACATGCCTGGGTTGCAGGCCATGACTCCCAGCAATTGCACATTGATGTTTCTCTTTCTCCCTCCCTTCCCTCTCTACAAATAAATAAATAAAATCTTTAAAAAAATCTTTAAAAGAATAAAGAAAATAAACACTTAAAAAAAAAGAAAAGGGATCTCTGCTGTTAGCTTGCAGGCTATGTGCACAAACATGGGGCCACCGGACCTGGCCTGAGGGCCGGTTTGCTGACCTCTGCTCTAGGCCAGTGGTTCTCGGATTTGCGGGTGTCTAGGAATCTCCTGGGGCCTTGATAAAACTCAGCACTGCCGCACCCTGAGATTCTGACTCAGCAGGTCTGGGTAGGGCCTGAGAGTCTCTCTCTCAGACCAGCCCTGGCCGGTGCCCGGGTGCCGGTCTCAGGCCTTGCTGTGGACAGGGAGGGTCTGTATTCATCATGAAAGATGGGTGGGTTTGGGGTGGAGAGGGGCCGGGGGCCCAGCTCTCCCTGAGCCAACACCTGCTCGGGACTCCGCCAGAGCTGCCGGCCCCTAGTGGCCACCTGAGGGGCAAAGGGCAGCCCTGCGCTGGGGAGCTCGTCTTGGACTCCCTGCCCAGCCCTCCCGACCCTGAGGGGACCCAGTTAACGGGCTCAGTCAGATTCTTCGTCCAACAGCCTCACCCACCTGTGTGGGTTCGTGCTGGTGCCTCCCACGGAGAATGCAGCCTCGCGTGTGCCCCCGGCTGCCCGTCCCAGGGACCTCAAGGCTCCTATAGAATTGCCTTGGCAGTTGGAGTTGTTCCAGAATCAGGATGGCTCCTGTTCATGCACACAAGCTGCCAGCAGAGGGCGACGTCACCCTTCTCCAGACCTTGCTGCCTGGATGTGCTGGGATCCCCATGCTGCGGTCCATATCGGCGGTGTTGTAGGGATCAGCTCTCCCCGTGTTTTTACTTAGGAGCCTGGAAGCACATACTTTGGAGGGGCTCCCACGGCATAGAGGACACCAGGAGGAATTCTCGCGGGTGAAGTGCAGGCTGTCCTTGATGTGGCCCTGCCCGTGGCGAATGGGAGCCGTTGGCCTGCCCCTGCCTGAGCCTCTGTGGGCAGGGCTTCCACATGGTTCCACATGGCTACCCCCAGGATGATTACACGTCTGTCTGCCTGCGGGGAACGCTTCGCCTGAGTACCCGTTAGGGCGGAAAGGTCAAGCACCTGGGCCCATTTCTTTCTCTCTTTTTAAAAAATGTCATTTATTTATTTTTGGATTGAGGGGAAGAGGGGGAAGAAAGAGAGAGAGAGAAACATCAATGTGTGGTTGCCTCTGGAGCGCCCCCTGGTGGCAGCCTGGCCCACAACCCAGGCATGTGCCCTGACTGGGAATGGAACTGGCGACCTTCTGGTTTGCAGGCTGGTGCTCAGCCCACTGAGCCACACCAGCCAGGGCTGGACCCGTTTCTAACTCACCTTTGGCTCTTGTTCAGGATTTGATTCACAACTTGCTTTGGCCACATGTTAGTCTTGTGGGGGAGGTGGGTGGGGCTGGGTCCTGATGAGCCCCTACCTGCCAGGGGGCCAGGTGCAGTGATCAAGCCCGGGCAGGGCAACACGCACAGCGGAAGCTGACAAAGCGAGCGGCTGTGGCATGTGGGGGCACGTCCCCAGTGCTGCTGCTGAAGGCAGGGAGCAGTTACGTGGTTGTGCAGGCCTGGCGTGTCCCTCCGCACTTCCTGTCACGTGACACGGGTGCCACAGGTGTCTGAGGGCCGGCCTGGAGAGCCGATGCCCTGGAAGCCTTGGATTAATTCCAGAGGGAACTGGCAGGGGGCAGTGTGACCCCGATGCCAGCAATGACACCACAGACAGTGTCGGAGCCAGCTGCTCTGTCGGGGCGACTTGAGGCCGCCCGGCGCCCACAGGGATCAGGGGGTGCCCACAGGGATCAGGGGTGCCCACTGAGTCACCATGCCTGGCTGGTCTCCATCAGTCCCTGCGTGAGCCCGTGGGGAGGGGACCGTCCACTGGTGTCATCGAGATGGCCTGGGCTGCGCCGGGCTGTCGGATGGAGCTGTCCAGCCCACGTGCCCCGGCTCTGAGTGCCCTGCTCTCCCCCAGGCTACGCCCACTGGAAGGGCCAAGTGCTGAACGCGGATGAGCTCCACGAGGTGTACAAAGGTCTGAAGCTGAACAACGTGAATAAATATGACTACGTGCTCACGGGTAGGGGCCCTGGGGGCGGTGGGTGCTGGTACCCGTGAGCCCCCCTCCGGCGGTGGGGGGGACTCGGGAGGCCCCAGAGCAGCCCCTGCCCTGGGCTCGTCCCTGGTCCCTCCCTGCTCCAAGGAGAACTCGGTCTTGTCCAAGCCAAGTCACACCTCTGGGACCACGCTGGGGCTGCAGTGTCCCTCGGGTGGGGTGGGGTCCGGGGGGGTGTCGGGAAGGGGTTGGCCCCTCCCGAAGTAAGTGACACACTCCCACCCGGCCCATTCGTCTATTTACACGCACTCTTGGCTTAAAAAAAAAGGTAACTTTGTATTTGTATACGTGAGCGTGCCTGTTGTTGAGATGAACAGGACAGAAGAACATCCCGTGCACACCTGTCACCCACGGCTTCTTCCTTTGGCTTAAAACTCAGCATTTCTTTTGGGAAGTGCCCGGGGACCCTCGTGGACGGCACGTGTTGGGGACACTGGGTCTCCGCCCTGGCCACAGCATGGCTTCGATGGCGCCTCTGTCTGCCTTTGCTGGCTCGGCTGCTGTGAGCCTTCTGTTTTGTGAGGGTGGCCCGGTCTCCCCCGCCAGGGTACACAAGGGACAAGTCCTTCCTGGCCATGGTGGTGGACATCGTGCGGGAGCTGAAGCAGGAGAACGCTCAGCTTGTGTACGGTAGGCGCCGGGCTGTCCCTGCTGGAGTGGGGGACCTGTGCACGGTGCTCAGCCCCCCTCTTGCTGGGCATCCCAACTTCATGGCCACCTCCCAGCCTGGGAGCCCCAAATCCACCAGGTCTCCGGGGGTGTGAGCCTTCAGAACTTGGGTTAGAAACATCTTGACCATGAACCTGGCATCTGTGTGGGGGCGTGTGAGGCACATGAGCTGTGTGCGTGTGCCTGTCCATGTGCTGCTCACTGCAGCTGTGTGTGTGTGGTGCCCCAACACTAGAGGGGTGGCGGGGGGTGCACTGGTGGGGTGCACGTCTGGGTGACAGAGTGGGAAACCCCAGGTAACGAGACAAATGGGAGCGGGAGGCCATGCTTTCCCGAGCTTCTAGGTGCAGTGGAAGTTGAACGACCAAAGTCATGTGGAAGTTGCAGCTTTTGCTGACGAGATGCCCTTTGTGTTCCCGCAGTGTGTGACCCGGTGATGGGGGACAAGTGGGACGGTGAAGGCTCTATGGTTAGTCGTTTCTTGCAAGCAGGTAACAGGTGTGGCAAGCACAGCTGTTGCTGCCAGTCCGAGGGCGGGGCACCTCGCCCTTCCTGGGTGGGGCGCTGCTCTGGGGGGAGGCGGGGCCTGGTCGGGAGGGGGCGGGGCTGGCGGAGGAGCTTTCTGCAGAGAGCCAGAGAGTCTGTGTCTCGGGGCCACACATCCCTGCCGCAGCCAAAGCAGCCGCTTCACAAACCATAGGACGGAGCTGTTTCCTAACAAAACTTCACAGACACAGATCTGAATTTCCTGCCATTTCCTTGTGTCACCAAGCGTCACTCTTCTGACTTGTCCCCCAAAGTTTAAAAAGTGTTAGAATGGCTCTCAGCCCATGAGCCACGCCCAGGCGGGCACCGGGACAGGCAGAGGCCTGCAGCCTGCCGTCCCTCAGTGGGAGCAGAGTGGGCAGGACGCCCTGGAGTGGCCACCCCATGCCCCTCGGGGCAGCCGAGGGTGTTGGCGGTGGAAGGAGTGTGCCCGAGCGCCCCCAGGAGCCCTCGGAGCCCTCGGGTCACCACCCACTGCCCGTCTCCGCGGTCAGGTGCCCGGTCTCCCGTGGGGGCCTCAGGCCTGGGCCCGCATGCTGGGTTTCGTCTCCTCCTCCTCCTGGAGTGTCAACCTGTGTCTCTGTGTCCTTTCTCCGCAGTACGTTCCAGAGGACCTCCTGCCCGTGTACAAAGAGAAGGTCGTGCCCGTTGCAGACATTATAACCCCTAACCAGTTTGAGGCCGAGTAAGTGGCTAGAAACAGCTAAAGCTTTCAGACCTCCCCACGGGAGAGTGACGGAGACACTGCAGGAAGTGTCCCCAGACCACCTCTGGGGCTCGCGTTCAGCTCCTCAGAAGGTCCCACCCCAGGGTCTCGAGCCGCCCGGCCGACCTGGCTTCCAGCCGTCAACGGTCGCGTGCAGTTACTTGGCCCTGACTCCCTGTGCCTGTCACACCGGCCCCAGCTGTGTTCTTGAACAGTGGGACACTTGGGGACACCGAGGGGGAGGTGGCGCTCTGGCACATGGCTGTCACGAGCCACACGGTAGAGAGTCCATGCCAGCTGGTACAGGCGGTCACGCCAGAGCTCTCCCGCATCCCCAGTCACCCTTGCTGGCCCCGTGTGCCGTGACATGGTCACGAAGGGGGCGGTGTCCCTGTTCTTCGTGTTGTTGCGTGTGCACATGGACCGCAGTCTGGAACTTCAGCCTGCCCTGTGATGTGGGGTCCCCATTTAAAACTAAAGTTTACTCTTAACCAGTCCCCAGACACCCTGTGGTGGCCACTTGGTCCGTGATGGCCTGTGATGGCCAGCAGGCTCTGAGTCAGCTCCCTGGGGCAGCTGGGGGTGGGCACCAGCCCCGGTGCAGTTCTGGGAACGTGACAGGCAGGACCCAGCTGGCGAGGGATGCCTCACCTGTGCCCGCCTGTCCTTCAGGTTACTGAGCGGCAGGAAGATCCACAGCCAGGATGAAGCCTTAGCGGTAAGGAGTCCTTCCAGGTGCTGGTGTGGGACAGAGGGACTGATCACAGTGGGGAGGGGACAGCCACGTGCCTGCGGAGGTGGGAGACGGGCACCCTCAGTGGCCAGCATCCCAGCTTCCGGTTCACTAGCCGGAGGACCGGGGGACGCACTGCAGATTTCTCTTTGGTTGCTTGGCCGCTCACTCACTTGCAGTTTCATGCTCGTGGGGTCTGGTTAACCCACGGCCGGCTCTACTGGTCACAGCAGCCCCGTCTGAGCTAACGGGGGTGGGGAGCCCTCCCACTCGGAGGGCATCCGAGCCAGATGACTCTGGGGCAGGAAAGAAGCAGTCCGTGGGTACAGGCACCCCTTGGTATGAGAATGAGAGGAGACAGGTCGTGCACCCCCACAGTGCCGGGTCCAGGGTGGGTGCTGGGCAGCTGGCCTGCCCGTGTATGCATGCGTGTGTGTGTGTGCACACATGCATGTGGGAGGCACCCCCCCCAGAGCTCACACGCAGCTTGAGGCAGAGGGTGCCCACTTGCAGCCTCACAGGCACTGCTCGGGGCAGCCCACAAGACAGACGGGTCCTCCTGCAGCCCTTACTACAGGGCGGTCCCTCGCTGCTCTGTGACTCGCAGCCCAAAGCCTTGGGCTCACAGGGGAGGGACTCGGCTTCCTCGCCGGGACTTGGGTGAGCAGGCGCCTGGGCCGAGGGGCCGTGACTGGGAGTCCACGTTAGTGCCCCCCGCACCGGAAATTCCGAATGTGTGTGCACGACCAGGGCCAGCGTAGGAGCCTTCCCCTACGACGGCAGGGAGGCCTGTGTGGCTTGGCCCGCTGGTGCTAGCCCCGTGGGAGGCTGGCAATATGCCCGCTGCCTGCAACTGGCCCTCCCGCACCCGGCCCCAGCTGTGTCCAGGCCTGGCCCCTGCTCTGGTTCAGCTGGCACTGTCCCGACCTGAGTTGACCTCAGTGGGTATTCTGTCACAAGGCACTGTGCCCTGGAGGGCAAGAAGCCTCCAGCCCCAGGAAGTGTCTGGGCACATGGCAGCAGGTGTTTGTTGAATGAATAAATGAGCGCATGAGTGGCTTCCCAGAGTGGATGGGTGCTGGGAGTTGTTGTTGCTTGGTGTTTGCTCTGTGTGGGGCCCGGATGAGGAAGCACAGTGGGCCCAGCCTGGTTGGCACCTCTGTCCAGGAGATGGGCACCCGTGGGGTGCAGATGGGGGCTGGCGGGTGTGTGCCCTCAGACTTCAAGCCAGAGGGGATGGGGACAGTGGCTTTCACTTGGCAAAACGCATTCGGCAAAGCTGTCACTGAACAGGCAAGGGCCGGTCAGGGGAGGCTCCCAGGTTCTCAGCCCCTGCTGCCTCCCTCCCCGTTAGGCCGGACCCCGTGAGAGTGCATGAGGGGCTGTGAGTGCTGGCCGCACCTGGCCGTTCCGGCTCACGGGGTGGGGTGCAGGAGCAATGGCCTGTGCTGTGGCAGGTGACTCAGGAGTGGCCGACGCACTCCCTGTGCCCGGCAGGTGATGGGACGTGCTGCACTCCATGGGCCCCGACACAGTGGTCATCACCAGCTCCGACCTGCCCTCCCCAGCGGGGCAGCGACTACCTGATCGTCCTGGGGAGCCAGAGGACCCGTGAGTCCCACGCCCGCCCCACCACACCCTCCCTCCCACCCTGCCCTTCCGCTGTCTGCCCTGCCCGCCTCTGAGAAGGCGTGGGGACCAGTGGGGAGATGAGCACCCCTTACTCAGAAGGCAGTCATTTCCCTTAGTTCCCGTCACTCCCCACCCTGCCTCGTCCTGAGAAAGGGGGAGACCGGAAGCAGATAGGGGAGGGTTTCCGTCAGCCGGGGCACAGTGGAGCTTGGGGTGCCGATACCTCCCCCACGGTCGCCCGCAGAGCAGCCCTCAGTGCCACAACGGCACCAGCGGCACAAGAATCACATCCCGACTTCCATGTGGGGGGTCGTGAGGAGCAGCCCTGCCAGGAAACCAGGGGTCCACATGCCTGACCCTCCCACGGGGCCTGGACTGGTGCCGACCTCTTGGGGGTGGGGGTGGGTGGGGCTGGGAGGTGCTTCGTGCTCCTGCTCCCCGTGTTCCTGTTTCCCCAGCGGGAGTGCCGCCTGGGTGGGCGCTCCATGGCCCGGCGTCAGCGTGACTCAGGAGGCCGGGGTCCCACTCCTGCCGTGGGAGCAGCCCCGCGGGCACCTTCTCACCGCTCCCTCTCATCTGTGTGCAAGAACACACATGCACACACGCCCTGACACACTCACATACACACCTCACCCCAGTGAGCTCACAGGGTCCCTCCAGCTCTAGGCACCGTGGTCCTTCAGGCTCCCTCTGAAGACCACGTGAGCCGGCCCCCTTGTCGGCCATGCAGGGTCCCCCCCCAGGCCATCCTGACTGCAGCCGCTCGGGACACTCGCCATTGTCCACTTCCTCCCCTGGGACAGTGAAGCCACTGTGGGGCGTTGGGAGCGGCCGGCAGGCCCTGAGCCCTGGGTTCTGTCCGGGCGAGCCGCCGCGGGTGACATCACCCACCTCGCACAGTGCAGGGGGACGAGGGGGGAGGAGGACAGACGGGGGCCCGGACCTGGGCGGGCGCTCTGCTGGCGAGGGTCCGGGGTCCCAGTGTGCCGTGCTATCTCCAGGGCACCCCGACGGCTCTGTGGTGACCGAGCGCATCCGCATGGACATTCGGAAGGTAGACGCCGTCTTCGTGGGCACCGGGGACCTCTTTGCTGCCATGCTCCTGGCATGGACACACAAGCACCCCAACAACCTCAAGGTCAGCGGGGTACACCACCCCCTGACCCCCCCACCAGTTGATCTGTTCATCACTGTGGGGAGTGGTCACCACATCCAAAGGGCTGGAGGGAGACAGGGGTGACCGTGAGCTTAGAGGTGGGCGGCCCTGGGCGGGCAGGGGTCCTGTGTCATGTGCCACGTCTGGGTGGAGTCGCAGCCCCACCCCTCCTCACCGTCCGGCGCTGAAACCCGGGGCCCTTGCTCAGGACCGAGGTGCCGCAGCACCAGTGATGGGAGCCTCTCCCAGCAGAGCGGTCCCTGTGAGCGCGCCCTTGAACGCAGTCCCTGGGCTGAGGAGTAAATCGGGCGTGGTCCCTCCTGGGCGGCCCACAGCGCAGCTCAGGACTCGGGGCGCATTCTTCCACGTCCTCAGTGCCGCGTGCAGTTTCGCAGTGTCTTAAGAAGTCCTGTCTGATGCCCCGTCAGCTGACAGCCTCTCTGTCCTCCAAGAGCCTCGTAGAGGTGCCGGGCGGGCAAGGCCTGCACTGCCTGATGCGGGAAGGGCAGTTGGGGGTACAGGGGCTGGTGGGAGAGAGGAGCCAGGCCTCTGTCTGGTTGGGTCCCCTCAAGGAAGGGAGAATTCGGCGGTCGGGACCTGGGAATGGATTCCCCTGAAGCCGTCATTGCAGGGCACCCAGGGCGGGGGGTCCGTGCCTCCCCAGCACATCTGAGTGTTGGGCTCCGAGTTTGTGTAGTGCAAAGCCTGCCCGGGGGTGCCTCCTCTGCCGCCTACCAGTGGAAGCAACACTGTGCTGTTCTCTGGCCACTGTCAGCCCTCTCTTGCCTGCCCCGAGGGCCAGCCTGCTGTGAACGCAGGCCTGCCCGCTTCATTGGCAACAACAGGAGCTCCATGTGGTCCAGGCAGGGGCACCGTGGTGCCCAGAGAAGGCCTCGCCGCTGGGCCCCAGGTTCCAGGACGGAGTTCTGTCGGACTCCCTAGCCCCTGCTGAGCTCCAGGTCTGACTGGGAGACTCAGAGCAATGGCTTTGGCCGACCTTGGAGCAGGAGGTCTCTCCATGTTGGTTTTTTGTACTTCGTTCATCCCAGAAACACTTCCTGAGCGCCCGCTACGGGCCAGACAGTATCGTTGGTCCTGAGTCACAGCCCCTCCCCAGAGCTGTCTGCGGTCCGGAGGGGCAGTTGATTGTGTTAAGCAGGCGTCCGCTCAGCTCTGTTCTGCTGAGGGGGGGGAGGCGTGGCCAGCTGGAGGGTGACCGCCAAGCCGGCACCCTCGTGACTCGGCGCAGACGGCACTCTCAGAGGCGGCTGTGGGCGGCATGGGGGGCCGGCGGGCCTGGGCGAGATGGGGGCACAGCGGTTCCCCTCCCTGCAGGTGGCCTGTGAGAAGACGGTGTCGGCCATGCACCACGTGCTGCAGCGGACCATCAAGTGTGCGCAAGGTACCGCGGGCAGGGCCCACGGGCACCCTTCGCGCTCCTGAGAGCCTCCCGCGTCTGGGGCCTGGGGCCGAGGGTGGGGAGGGAGGCGGCACCCGCTCCACTGTGGTGACGTGTGACCCGATTCTGCTGTGACCGGGGGTCCCTCTGGCTCCCTCTGTCCCCCTGACCCTGGCCTTGAGGAGTGGGGTCTGTGGGCCTGCTCTGCCCCCGACGCTCACGCTCTGTGTGCTCTGCAGCCCAGGCCGGGGACAGACAGAAGCCCAGCCCGGCCCAGCTGGAGCTGAGGATGGTCCAGAGCAAAAGGGACATCGAGAACCCGGAGATCGTCGTCCAGGCCACGGTGCTGTGAGGACCGCGTGCGTGCGCCCGCCTCCCGGCGCGCAGCGTGTCGGCGTGTCCCACTTCGTCCCGTGAGAGATGTGACGTCTGCCTTAGAGCCGTGACCGAGACTTGACGTGTCTTTTCTTTCGTGTCTGTCCAGCATCCGCTGGTGTTCATCGTGAAATCGTGCCAGTCGTGCTTTTTAAAAATAACAAAGTGATCACAGAAGTTCGTGATTTGGAAAACCAGCTGCCCTTCCCCACCGAGGCTCCCGGGCCTCTCTGGAAAACCAGCTCTGTGGCCGCCCTCAGGGGGTGGGGGGCGCCCTCCCCAGCCGGGGGTGGCCCTAGGTGGGAGGGGCAGTGGCCCCCAGAGAGTCCCATCAGCTCCCACCAGTGAATGGTCCCCTGTCCAGTTTGGGTCCGGGTGGTGGGGGCGGGTCCCCAGGGGGTGGGGGCTCTGTCTGTGTGTCTCTGAGAGCGAGAGTTCAGCGTTAACCATTCGCGTCCTGCCAGACTCTGCCAAACACCTTTATTGTCATTCTGGCCTTTTCCTCCTTGCTCCTGCTTCCAGACTTGTGTTTCTTTGCTGCTTAGGAGGTCGTGGGGCATTCCAGGTATTCCGCTTCTGTCTCCACATCGGGACAGGTTAACGCCAGCTGGCCCAGAGACACACAGGCCTGCGCGGTCACATTGGCAGGGACACTTCCAGGACCCCCAACATTCAAGCCAGTGTACAAATCTCATGAGTATCCGAGGGACCACTCTGTAACGCACAAGTGTCTCTAGGGACCTGCCGAGCAAGGTGCAGAGACACCCTTGGGGGGAGGGCTGGCCCGGGGCCAGGGTGTCTGGGAAGGTGCCGTGGTGGGCTCCTTGTGGTAGGACACCCCTACTTTGTGGCACAACAGCTTGGGAACTGCGTGTCTGCCACCTGCTGCTAGTGACATGCCTTGTGCCACGGAGTGAGTGAGTGTATAGACAGGTACGGGTGCAGAGGTGGGCTCCTGCTCCTCTGGGGGGCCCATTTCACCCCCGAGGCCCTGACAGTACTGCAGTTATCCGCTGCCGGCGTAACCTCCTCGGCTCCATGTGCCCCGAACTTTGGGGTACCCTAGGCATGGCTATAGGCAGGGGTGTCCCTCCTGAAGTCCCAGCCTGCCTTGATCTCAGCACCCTGCCCCCACTCTGGGGAGGCAGAGGGTTGCCCCTCCCGGGAGCCCACAGCGGGAGCCCGCACGTCTGAGCAGTGCATTCTGCACTTTGTAGAAAACGCCCTGAAAGGAAGAGCTGCCACTCCCCGGGGGACCTCCCGGCCCCGTGGCCCACCACTCACTTCCGGACGTCCCACACTCGGAGCCGTGGTGCTCCTGTGGGGGGCCTGTGCACAGGTCAGATTGTCTGTGCCACTCAGGCCTGCTGAGCCCTGGGGCAGAGCCCAGCCCATTGGTCCCTGCAGGCCCACTGGGCCAGGAGGAGGAAGGAGTGGCCGCAGCCCAGCAGGGGGCAGTAGGGACCAGCCAGAGTCTCCCAGGGCCCTGGGCCGGTGCAGCGCCTGTGACAGAAGTTACCACCACTGCCAAGTAGAGCTGGGGAGCCGGCCGACGGGAAGAGGTTTCTGGTCCTTGTTTTGTTTTAGTTTTGACTCTGAGAGGATGTTTCTTAAAGCTGGGACCGTGAAACAAGGAAGGGCCTAGGACAGAAGCAGCAACAGGCGAGAGCCCGGGTGGGGGCTGCTTGGGTTCAGTGGAACGTCAGCGAGAAGGGGTCCCGGGGGCCGGTTCACGGGGAAGCCTGGATGAGCTGCCGCAGCCCGTTGCTGCCGTGGTCGTGAGCCTGGGGGGGTGTGGGGGGGTTCTGAGAGCCCAGGAGTCACCCGGCTGCTGGGGAGGAAGACGAAGACGGGGAAGGGAAGGCGCGGCGGCGGGGCTCCAGGAGGAAGCGCTCTCTTCACATTAATAGCAGGAGCCAGTGTGGGGCTGGGGAAAGAGCCCAAGTGTGTCTGTCTCCCGAGAGATGGTGAAAACGCCCCCGGGAGACACGGTGCTGGTGCTGGGCCTGGTCCGTGTGCGCACACGGAGCGCACTGGAAGGGAAGCGTGCTCTGCCGACACGACGCGGTTCTTGGCTCTGTGGTTTCATTGCAGAGGCGTGGCCCCCGTGAGGTGTCCTTCTCGTACTTCCCTGTGTTTATTACACACAGACGGATGGGACTTTTTCCACCCACACAGCTTCAGCGGGACCAGGGACTCGGGCTCCTCCTGGGCTTGTCCGTGCCCTGTGGCGGCAAAGCTTCCACAGGAGGAGTCAGAGCCGGGCTCTCCGTGATGGGAGGGGCCAGCTGGGGACCCCGAGGGTGTCCTGGGAGTGTGGGGCTCCCAGGGAGACGCCTCGAGCTCCTGTGGGAGGCCGAGCTCCGTGTCCCCACGCTGATCCTGTGCTCTCCCGGCCTGTCTCCACACCTGCCCGTCCCGTGGGTCTCAGGGACAGCGGAGGCTGCAGAGGCCCCAGAGCCTCCTCCGTGCGCAGTGTCCCACCCAGGAGTCAGCCACGGCCCCTGGCAGGTTTTGCACGCAGGTCGGGTCCAAGTCAGAATTGACCTTTCCTGTTTGTGCTTTGTGAGGTGGCCTAGTGGCCCGCAGACGACCGGTGGGGCTGGCGCGGGAGGTGGTGGTCAGGGCGCAGGCTTCAGCACTGCCCAGCGTTTCAGTCCTCCTGCGGGCCAGCAGGAGGCAGCACCAAGTGGGCTCCCTTGTTTGTGAACCAGGCTGCGGTGGTCCCCACGTCCTGCTGCGGTGACCATGTCAGTCGGCCTCACCTGTGTAAGACTGGTCAGCGACGGTGGAAACCGTGCTTTCTTGATTGTCCGGCTCTCACCCTTGCCAGAACCAACCTTCACAACGTTTAATTTTGCAGCGACTGAGCCGGGCTTTAACATCTGCCCCGAGGTGGGAGGGGGGGTGTCTGAGCCCTGAGGTCGCAGGCCAGAGCACACGGCCTGCACCGTGACGCCGGAGTCCTGATAGAATGGGGTCGCCTCCCTGCTGCCGACATCCGTGTGACAGACACGTGGGAGCTGCAGGCCCCTCTGCCGACTGGCCGCCGGCCTCCGGCGCACGCCCGGCTGCTCAGACTTGCCTGCCCTTGGGTGGGCCCGCCTGCTGCCTGGGGCGTGGGGTCCTCATTGTGCGAATCAGAGACACCGTGTGACTGCACTGTACTCAGAGCCGGAACGGCCAGGCATCCCTGTCTCCCTTCTCCCCCCAATCCGGTCCCTGGGGCCCCCTCCACACGCGTCTCCCCCTGGGAGCCTCCCGGTACCTGCGTGGGCTGGAAGGAGGGAGGGGAGAGGAGTTTGTGAGTGGGCAGGGCGGGTTCTGTGCAGCCAGGGCGTTGTGAGTGTGGCCTGGCTTTCTGTGTCTGGGTGGGAGCCACGTCGTCCCCAAACTGGATTCTGCCCACCCACAGCACAGCTCACCGGGTTTCTCCCGCACGCCACCTCCCACCGTCTGCGGTGACGTACAGGAGTGCAGGGGCCCTGCGGGAGCCCCACGGGACGAGCTGCCGTGCTGGGGGGCGGGGGGCTCACTGTTCTCGTAGTGCATGTGTCTTCTTGTGGACGTCTGCAGTTTATTCTCGGTGCAAATGTCTTCTGTTTAACTGATTAAACAACGTCTTACAAACCGCATTCCCGCCTTTCATTAGCGGTCTGGGCTCACCACACGACGGGTGCATTCTGTTTGCAAGACAGACCAGTGAGTGACTTCAGGTCTGGCTTAGAGAACATTCTAAAACTATATCGATGGGAGGCTTCTCCTAGAATTTTCTTTTGAAATGCTGACAGAGTAAACAGGTGTTTACAAAGCTTTCTCACTGGCCCCGACTGGTGTGGCTTGCTTGGGTGTCGTCCCACAAAGCAAAGGGTCAGGGGTTCGACTCCCAGTCAGGGTACTTGCCTGGGTTGTGGGTTCGGTCCCCAGTCGGGGCGTGTGTGAGAGGAAACCAGTCAATGTTTTCACATAGATGTTTCTTTCCCTTCCTTCTGCTCTAAAAAATAAATAAAATCTTTTAAAGATAAAAAAAAATAAAAGCTTTCCCACTGTCTGAGCCCCACAGAGCCCCGCACTCACTGCGAGGCTGCCCACCCACCTCTGAGCTCCACTTTGGGGGGGTTGTGGCTAGTGGAATCCCAGCCTGCAGCCTCCCCTCCCCCCAGCCCCACACCACAAGGGGCAAGGTGCAGTCCTTGCAAGACAGGAAGCCCATTTTGCAGGAGACGCCTTCCTGAGGCCTCGGGTCACTGCCCTGGCTGGGACATCGGCCTGCAGGTCACCTGGAGGAAGAGGGCCGGCCCTTCATGGTGCAGCCGCTCTGGGCTGACGCCGTGACCCTGGCCCCGGTGATGGAAGGTGTGGATGTTCATATGTGGGGAACTGGCAAGGACTTCTGACCTCCATGGAGGCCCGGTGTGATTTTGAGTCCTAACTGGGAACTTGAGTCGGCATTTCAACCAGTGACTGCAGAACTGGACCGACAGGCTGACTGAGGGGCCGGCTTGGAGCCCGGCCAGCACTCTCCCGGCCCTTCTGGGGGCAGGAACTCGGGTTCTGGAGGTTTCCTGGGGTGTAATGCTGCCCGGGAACAAAGCCCACGGCCCCAGGGTCCCGGCTGTGAGGGGCTCAGTCTCTGTGAGCTTCGGGTGGTGGTTCCTCTGGCTCCGTGGCGACCAGCCCTGCGCACGTGAGCGTGCAGACGTGTCTGTACACGCGAGACGCCTGCCAGCATTGTGGAGGCACGCATGCGCTGCCCCATTCCCGTACAGTCCTCCACAAATGAACATTTCCGTGCGGCTGTGGTGAAGCCTGAGGATTTCTTCCTCCACAGGATTACCTGTGCAGTACCTACAGTGCGTGAACCAAGCATAGTTGCTGCTGTCCCTTAAATGTCCCCCTCTTAAAGGAACGGCCTGCCGTGCTCTCCGTGCCCAAGTCCCCTCTCGCCTGTCCCCCACCGGTCTCCGTCCTGGGCGCTGCCCTGGATGTCCCAGGCAGCGGGCTCCGGGCCCTCGGGACCCCTGCAAGACCCTACGAGTGATCAGGGCTGGGGGCCTCCCTTTCCCGGCCCATCCCTGCCAGATTCTGAGGCCCGGCTCTGGTCACAGATCCCAGGTCACTGCCAATTCTGGGTTCGAGTTCCTTCACACTGGGGTAGGGACAGCTCTGGCTCTGCT